ACCAACTTTGGTCTAGAAAATAATATTCGGACCAACATTGGTCTGAATAATTCTCGCAGAATCTAGAAGCTTCTCTTCTAAGACTTTTTCATTCTTTTCATTTAAGGACAACTAGGTTTTCCTGAGCCTCGATTCCATTTCTACCGAAGCCATGTGCACACACTGAACCACCATAGTCAGCCATAACCGTGGCACCATCAGTCAAGCACCTAAAATTGGTTTTTCATCACGTAAGTCAACATCATTGTAAAATCTTAAACGCGAGGAGTTAAAATTATTAACTTTATCCTTATGCCACACCATTACGAAACCATATACCCTTTGGATTGTTATTTTTAATTTTAAAAATATGTTATAAGCTATTCAAGACGTTTAAATATTGTTGTTCATGTGAAAGTACAACAGTTTAAGGTGTCAAGAAAAAAAAAAAAAAGAGTAAACTGTGCAAGATATTAAAACCAATGTTGGTCTGGAAAAAGTATTCGGACCAACATTGGTCCGAATATTTAAACATTTTTTAAAATATTTTATATCTTTTTCTAAGTTGGTCCGCGCCTTTTTCATTTGATATGTATACGGACCAAAGTTGTTCCGAATACTTTACTGCCCTTTTTGCTGAAAGTGTTTGAATGTAGAATGTAAAATTTTTATTTTTTTTTTTTTGCATTATTTGGACCAATGTTTGTTTGAAATAAAAAAAAAATGCCAAATATTTCAACAACGTTTGAAAGTTTTGGTGCACGCGGCAGCAGTTTAGTGAATATATTTCGGACCGTTTATGGTTTGAAATAAATTTGCCTATATATTATCTCCTGCTACCTCTTTTGCAAAATCTTGTTTTGTGCCTTTTCTCAGTTTTCCTTCTCCCCTTCTCCATTTTCTCTTTGGTTCCCCTCTATTCTTTCTCTCTTTGTCCTATTTTTTGTTCTTTCCCTCATCTCTTTGTTACCCCTCTCTTCCAATCCCTTTCATCCCTTTTTCTTATCACCTTTCTCAACTCTTCCTCTTTCTTTTTGTATTGTTCT